AATTTAAGAACTCAGAAATGTAAATATTTATATTAAGAAAGGATTAGTAATAGAATTAAGAGGTATGTATAATAAAAAAAGAAATAAAGCGCAAAAGAATGATCTGCAAATAAAAAACAAGCACCAAAAATTAAAAAGAATGAAAGACAAAAAAAAGACACCCCCCCCCCCCCCCCTAGGGACACGACTTCAGAACCGAAAGTATGGGTACCTCCTTAGTATAACGAGTAAAAGTACCGAAACAGAAGTATCGCGTATGAGTATCTGTACCCTTAGCACGAATCAATATCGAATTCGTATCGTTTGCGAGTCCGAAATGTCATTGTCAAATGTGTACTGATTTTTAGTTCTCGTTACGGACTTTATGGCGCTGCTGTTCAAGTTTCCATACAAAATTTTACATTGACGTTAAGCACTCGCAAACTATTCGAAATCGATAATGGTTCGTGCTAGGGGTACAGAACCTATAACCTTTGTTTCACAGGGCGTGTAGGTCATAAAACAGAAATGCTAACAGCTTTTGTTATTTGAATTTAAACTTCTTTACGCACGCTTGACTTGGGGGGTAAGCCGGCGAATGCGTTACGCGTTACGAAACGTGTGTTCGGGCGAGGCGAACGCGAGTTGATTGGGGGATATAAGTAAAAGGAAGCAGTGCGCTCGCACATTTTCTTTCTCTCTTTCTCTTATAGCTAGTAAATGAAATATGTATATGTACATACATGTGTATTTTGTACACAAATATATATATCTGAGAGATGGAGCTAAAGAAGTTTCACTTCAGTCGTGTGGTCTAATATACTCGTTTTTTTTTGAACCCACATACCTGTTTCATCATCAGACTATTGGATATGGATGGAATAGGGAGATTGGGTCATGACCCTCCACGCGGGCCCAGTGCGGGTCGGCGGGTGCTGACGACTGCAGATACAGCCAGGACCAACGGCTTAACGTGCTTTTTGCTTATGATAAATTTTTGGTCACCCATCCAATGACCGATCACTGTGAAAGTTGCTGAACTTAAACGATCGCAGCCGAACGCGCTAATCAATTGAGCCATCAAGCTTCTCCATACATACCTGCTTGCTATTTGTCAAAGCCATATGAAGTGCCGGCCTGGCACTAGATCAAACTCGAATGAAAACATCAACAACATTTCGTCTGCTTAACATGTAAATTTGCTAACTCCACTTTTGGTCAAAAATTATCTAACAGTGGCGTTTGTTTCCTTTAATGTGAACTCATCGTTTACGTAAATTTGGCAACTCCTTGAATAAAGTGGAGATAGCAAAAGACATTGGGCAAAAATGTATGGACGCTGCACCCACGTCCGCCACGGCTTAAACTACATTTGTTTGAAAGGTATTATAGTCATGATCATCTGTGCCAAATGGCATCAAATTCTATCCCGGGGGTCTTTAGTTATTTTAAGTTAAATATGTACAAGTACTATAACGAACGAACATTAATGAAACAAGTGAATTAATTTAGTTAGTTAGTTCAACCCTACAAGGTGCTCAGGAATTATGGGAGTACATCACAAGGTGCAAGGGTGCCCCTTTATGTTATTCTGCCGCGACAGAGTAAATCCAAAAATCCCCGCTTGGGTTGGGTTTTTTTAAACATTCTGTTCGTTATAGTGAATTGTCTTCTATGTAAAACGGAACGACCACAGATTACACAAACTTGTCCACGCTTCGGAGAACACATGATTCCAGTTCATTCATACTAATTGACAAAACCGATAATCGTGATCCAATATCCAAAGCGTGTTAGATAAAAATCAATCAAGTAGCAGGGAGCGCACAATCACAACGAAGTAAGACGAGTCGACTATTTGCAACTGCAAATCCCTCAGCATCCGTAAACCGTTATGAAATGTCTCAGTAAAAGCAAGTGCAGGATGGTCGACAGGCTTTGTCGTATATCTGGTTGTATAGTACGATATGGCATATTAGTATGATTTGTAATAATATAAAATGAAAGTACTATAAAATGAATTTATTCAGCTACTTAAATATGCCCATGTGTCACATCTATTGACTACCAGGATATTTTTTACGGTGTCATATCTTTTGACTCCCAGGATATTTATTTTCGGTGTCATAATAAAAAAGGCTAGTTTTTTATAGATCTATCGATTCATACTAATTACATTGTTGGCGGGGCTGGGTGCGTTTTGCCCATTGTCCTTTACATGTTAAGTAGACGATTTTGGAAAATAATTTCTTTTTTGACATTATCAATTATTACTAATTTTAATATTTTCCGCAGAGTGGACAGCGCTTGTTGTTCGAATAGGTATCTATGTTTTAAATACTAGTATCGAATCAAAAGCACCTACTAGCATAACGATTATCATAGTCGAAATGTGTCATACACACATGTTTAATCGTTCGGAATCAAGAATGGGGCTAATATTCGGATTAGCGGAATCAAACCAATGGGCCGATGAGACTGTGATTCGATTAACAGTCAAATCTTGCGATTATCCGCCGGAATTGATTATTCTGATTGAGCTGGTTTGAATTACTATCATTTGTACGAAATGCATTAATATATACGTATGTTAATATATAAGTAGCAATCTAAAGAGTATTTCTTTAGATATACAAATACATATTTTAAATATTAAAGTTATTAACAAAACAATAATTATATAATATAAATAACCTATATCTTAGTACTTTCTTATGTCTTGAGCTACAAGGTAGCTCTATGTTTTCACGAATATTATACTGTCACAAACGCTCTCGAAACGTCACCGCGAAAGTGCTAGAGATCGAATTTGCCAGATCACCGCGGGTCGCGATAGAGGTCGAGTAATGCGGCTGCTCATTCTAAAATGAGCCTTATGCAGTGCGGCGTAAGGGAGAAAGTGCAACGACATCTGCACTTGTTTACAAGTTATGCGCGTTACCTGCGTAGGTATAAGTAGGTACTTCGTATTCGCGGGTACTTTCTAGAATGCGTCGATCGGCTATATAAGCGCGATTGGCGCCGCGCAGAGACAGTTGAGTTTCAACAGCGATTTCGGGGCGAATCCAAAGGCGATCAAAGTGCAACAAAAGTGTTCAACTGCGATAGTTTAGAGACTTGTATAGTGAAATACAGTGTTTAGTGAGTGTTTTGTAATTAATATTGTGTGTTAATTGTGTGAACTGTGTGGTGAATAAATAACTGTCAAGCGTGAACTGGCATATAATTTTGAACCCCATCCCGACACGTAACAATACTATACTCGAAAGAAGGAATACCAATGTTGTTTTAATTTGTTACCTATTATATTTATGTATCATCATCAGCCTATTAATGTCCCCAATGCTGGGGCACAGGCCTTCCCTATGGATGGAGTAGGGAGATTGGGCTATGACCCACCACGCGGGCCCAGTGCGGATTGGTGGGTGCTAACGACTGCAGATGCAGCCGGGACCAACGGCTTAACGTGCCTTCCGAAGCACGGAGGAGCTCGAGATAGTAAATTTTTGGTCACCCATCCAATGACCTACCATTGCGAAACTTGCTTAACTTCAACGATTGCAGCCGAACGCGCTAACCACGCGCCATCGAGCTATTATGTATCATACTTCATATTTAATATATCTATTAATAATTTTACATTTCAATATGGTGAAAATGGAAAATTATTTACATATTAGATTTTGGTAAACCGACGTCGTAAAGTAGTTTATACCCCTAATTGTTGTCTCTTTTAGCACTTTTTGTAAACGGACGAATGTGTGATTTTTATATTTAACATACTACCATGCAATTAATTGTCCAACCACTTGCCTATCATCAATAAGAAAAGTGCCGTAATCTACAGAATTTTTAAATCACACTAACATTAAAAAGGCGAAAGTTTATGAGTATGTATGTTTGTTACTTCTTCACGTCTAAACGGCTGAAGCGATTTTAATAAAATTTGGTATGGAGTTAGATGACACCCTGGATTAATTTATTATAGGCTACGGTTTACTGTGGGAAAATATCCCTAAAAAGCTGCGGGGCACAGCTAGTCAATAATAAAATGCAATCTCAAAATTGATAGAAGTTTATATATGAGCATTCATTTATTCATTTAATTTTTTTGTAGATAATGCCACTTTTCTTATCTGCGAAAATTATTAATAAAGTATGCAAATATGCAGAAACAATAATTTTATTATTTTTAAAATGCATGAATTATTGTGTCTGCAATTTTGCATACATTTCATTCTGTTTTGTTAGTAGAGACAGACGCAGACTCTTACCAGATTACGCATGTTTGATAAGTGAAAAAAATGTCAAATTCGACAATTCAACTGAAATAATTATTAAATAAAGATCGGATGAAGTTAGCAAACCATGACAAATAATTTCCATATCTAAATGAAATCTGATGCTTTTCATTTTAATGGGTCGCCATTTAATTTCTTACAAATACGCATGTTTTCGTATTTACATTGTTAGTAGATGTTCGAAAAATCGGGTATTTCTCTTACTTCTAAGAATAAGAAATTTAACAAGCATCGCATGACTCCCAAATAAACGTAACAAAACACAAAGATGTTCAAGCACTCGTAATGTGAGCATTTCCTTTATTTAATCTGTTCTGAATGCTTCGATATTTGAAATGCGCGAACCGGAACTCAATAAGGCAGTATCATTTAAATTCCGTAACACAGAAATGCTTAAATTAAAAATAAATCGCGGGTACAATCTCCCGAAAGAGGGTACCGTGACACTTTCCCACTGAAAAACTGATTAGAATTTTTTTCACGTCTCAGTTTCAGCCCTTTGCAGGCAGCACTCTTTTAATTAATCTTTATTATACAGTTCGCCTTTTTAAACGAAATTTACGCTTAATTAGTGTTATTTTTCAATGCCACGGTTACGGATAAGGAGTTACGTTTGTCTATGAATGAGCTGAAAGCGCAAAAAGGTTGCGATACGGGCTGAAAGCATAAATATATCCTTTTTTATGGTGAGACTTGCTGATATTATGGTTAGGGGAGCGGGGATACGTGGAGCGTAGAGCTTCCATAAGCGTTCTGGCCACCGCGCGGTGCGTTCGTGTCGCTCGCCAGCGTTCGAATTTCGAATGTTCCCCCACGAGGTTGGAATCGTCGTAAATTGATAATTTTCACGAAAAATGGTATCCGTGACGTAGTGCTGTGTTGTGAGTGACGGAATGTTTTAAGAGTGACGCATGTTTGTTTCAAACATCGACGTCGTTACGTTAAATGGTGAGTGGTATTGTTGTTTATCGGTATGATGTTGCGGTTATTGGAAGCGACCAGGCAAATCAGCTTAACGTTTTGCGATTTGCTCACACCCTTTTCCGTATTCAGATTGGTTGTTGATATGAGTGCGGCTTTCGGGTTGTGAATTAAATTCGTTGCGATATTATTGTTGATACATATTTGTTGTCAAAGGTTTATGATATTCTTTATAAAAATCATTTCATAATGTAAATTTTCTACAAAATAATTTTATATTTTACAAGCCCTTCCCTGATTTTACACAGGTTTTCTGAAATAAGATCGTTGTTTCGGTTTCTTTCGCAATTAAATTAAAAAAACAAAAATATGAATTAGCGATATTGTTTATTGTTATAGAATGAATAGTTTAAAAATCAACAGGTAATTATCATGCATCCGTTTCATGACAAATTTATATTCTCTAAATTTTTATTATATACTAATTCAAGTTTATGGAATGGTATTTTTTCTAAATGTACATTATAATAAAATATCTTAAGCAACCTATTAGCGTCCCCATGTCCCAGCACACAGGCTATGGATGGAATTCCCTATTTCATTGGGCCGTACCCAACACGCGGGCCCAGTGCGCATTGAAGATGCAGCAAGGACCAACGGGCTAACGTACCTTCTGAAGCACGGAGGAGCTAGAGATAATAAGTTTTTGGTCACCCATCCAATGACCGACCATTGTGAAAGTTGCTTGACTTCCACGATCGCAGAGCGAACGCGTTAACTATCTGCGCCACCGAGCTTCTCTAATAATAAAAAATAAACATGATATTTGATCGCTATCTGATGGCACTTCTAATTTATTACAATTTGTCTGATGTCAGTTTGGTTTGAACTAAAATATTGGAAAATTCTAATTTGACTAGGATATTTATTACTTAAGATAACAGAACGTTTTGTTGTTAGCATGCTAAATTTTTGTACTAAAATTAAATATTTTAGTATAATTATATATTTTTCTGATAGCATAAAAATTCTAAATACTACAATAAATAATAATAATAATAATAATAATAATAAATATTACCAACACTCACACCAATTAGCCTAGCCCCAAGTAAGCACTGTAAGGCTTGTGTTAAGGGATACTAGGGTAACGGATAGAATACGTATACAGTACAAATATAAGTATATTTATATAACACAAAATAAACATCCTTGACTGGAGTACCAATGCTCGTATTCATCTCACAAAATCTACCCCCACCGGGTTTTGAACCCGGGACCTCTCGAGTCAGCGACATTCATAAGATGTTATGTTATTGCTAGGGTTCCGTACCCAAAGGGTGAAAACTTAAAAACGGAACGGAAACTGTCCATATGACACAGGTCTCCAGTTCGTAAACGGATTAAGTTACTCCACTCCACATTTTCAAAAACCTTGTTAGATCTCACTATATGTCCTTGTAACCCTTCCATTTTTGTTGATCTAAGCTGAATGAATAAGACATAGATATGTATGTATTTGTGTATATATTTATATATATGTATGTATATATATTACTATGTATGTATTCCTGTAGGTATATAATTATATGTATGTATTGTTTTATATACTTATTTCGATTATATTTGTTAGAATGATTTTATATTGTTTTGTAGTTAATTACACCGCCGTCTCTCCAGCTTCTTTCCTGTCCTCTCCATCGAAAGGTTGTCTGGAAGAGATCGCTCTTAGCGATAAGACCGCCCATTATTACATTGTATTTTTTAATTATGTACTTCATGTTTTATGTTTTCTGTGGTGTAATAATAAATAGTTTTATATTGTATTGTATTGTATTGTATTGTATTGTATTGTATTGTATTGTAAGTTACATTTTGGTATTTTATGTAGTGGCCAAATTCAGTCCAATTATTTTCATACATGAAAAGGAGACGCTTTTTTATTTTTTATTTTCAATAATAAAGAAATAGTGTGCCATCAAGGTTATCATTTTCAGACCATTTTTGTTACGGGGTCTATCACAAAATCGAAACTACTTGTAGTTAAAAATGTGAAATTTTGGTATATGATGTCCTTACTATATTACATTTTGTATTCTTAGAGAGAGAGAGAGATTTTTTTTACTAACCCTTTGTTACACGAGTATTACAACAACAATAATAATAATAATAATAATAACTTTATTTGGAACAAGTGCAATGTACATAAAATTATGAATCGTTAAAACTGCTTTAGTTTTACAAAAACTGTGTTGCAGAATTAACGCCCATTCCCGTATAATATGAAACAGTGTTCCTATCAATGTATAAAATTAATTAAAACAATCTGTATAGAGAGAAAATTAAAATGAGACAAAAATATCCACAATTTAAAATCCATCGAAGGTAATTTCAAAACAAAAAATATGTCCGAGTGCATTTTTATCAATATTATTACAAACCAATACTAAATTTTACCAAAAAATGAAAATAAGGACTAAAATATAACATTTGAATTTTTATGCTCACATTAGAAGGTAGGTAAACACAGATAATACAAATCTATTAAAATTACAATATTAAACCTACCTGGACACTACAAACCAATAAATCATGATATAGAATAGTTAAATTCAATATAAGACACAATTTCGCACACATCGTACCAACATCACTGCAAAAAAGTAAATTCAAAGCATCGCAAAGCAACAATGAAAGAACACATAAACATTAACATAAAAAACAAAATTAAAAACTAACTTAAAACTACAAAAGTAAATGAATGGTTAATCAGGACCCTGCCTCAGCAAGATGCTGTTGCCACACGTTAGTATGCGAGTAACAACAGCGCTGGTATTCTTGCAGGGCCTGTAAGGTGCGCTATATATATTACTAGCTGCACGATTTTGTCCTCTGTGATTATCACTGTTTATCTATGAGCTGAAGTGTTGCTTAACTTGCGATATTTTATGCCATCGAACATTATATCTTTTTATATAAATCAAAAATAAAAATTCATAATCATCACAATTGTATCTAAAACGCTGGTGTTAAATTTCTCTATTTGTTCTATAACAAATAGAGAAATTATACTACTATTAGTATAGTCCTTATTATAAACTAATATTCATAATGTACTTTGTAAGTTGTGGCAAAAAACGAACAAATGATTTTCCCACCCGCAGTTTGTTGCGCTGTTATATGTATCTAGCTTGGCAACGAACTTTTTCGTAAGTCAGTGATATGAGGTAGCTTCAATAACAGGATTAGTTCATTGTACGGAACCCTAATGGAGCGAGGCCAGATTCACGCTTGGTCAGGCTTTTTCATCGTTTAAATAGGAATTGAAATGCTTGAACTCTTTTTTGTTTTTAACTGAGAATTAGCACCGATTTGTTTATAGGAGCAAGCTTTACATACCTAACTATATAATGTCATGTTTTCATGCATTGTAATGAGGAGCTTGATGGCGCAAGTGGTTAGCGCGTTCGGTTGTGATCGTTGAAGTTAAGCAACTTTCGCAGTGGTCGGTCATTGGATGGGTGACCAAAAATTACTATCTCGAGCTCCTCCGTGCTTCGGAAGGCACGTTAAGCCGTTGGTCCCGGCTGCATCTGCAGTCGTTAGCGCCCACCAATCCGCACTGGGTCGCGTGGTGGGTCATGGCCCAATCTCCCTAATCCATCCATAGGGAAGGCCTGTGCCCCAACAGTGGGGACATTAATAGACTGATGATGATGATGAGTTCGTCACATCTAAGGCAAACTTACGAATCTACTTTTTTAGTAAAAATCTATAATAAAAAACTGCACATAATGGGGTGGGTACTTAACACCAGAGAAAAGTCACACAATTTTATCAATGACGGTTTCAAAAGTGTGATTGTTTGAATCTGCATTTTATGTTTATGCACCCAAAGTAAACTTACCAAATTATGATACGATATTTTGGCGTAGTATAGTAGGTTTTATGAAATTCAAATTCGTAAGTTTACTATGGAAGTGACGGGTTTATTAGTTACGCTTTCGTGGGTGAAACATTGAATTGATTATGCTGAATAGGGATGATTACAATATTTTTTCTTCATAATGTAAGGTACATTATTATCAACTACATCTTTTTTAAAGTCTGTTAAAGACATAGAACACAGGAAGAGGTCAGAAGGGCCTTGTGGGCGGGGTAGGCGTGACACAGTTATGTGTTATATGTGAGCTCATAACTTGACCAAAACCTTAGATTAAAACAAAAAGGGAAGATACGGCATTCGCGGCTCAAAAGTGATCCGCTTAAATTGTGGCCCATGACCATAATTCGCTTTAGTCACAATTTTGACATTAAAATACGCTGCATGTACACTCAATATAACAATATTGCGTATATTCTGTGTTATGAAGATAAAACAATGCCTTCGATGCTTTTTTAAAGAACAAAAATACTTAGTTCAAAATCAAATGCGCCGGCAACGCTTTTCATTCGTAAAACTGTGAAAACATTTTTTTCTCAAAAATCACGGTTTGGTGTGAATATTATTTACGTAATCGCCATTTTGTAAGCAAGAAAACGGCAACAATACGCTGCGTTGAACCGTATACTTCTGTCTCGCTCGCTCGATTGATGTTTATATACAGACGTGTGCGTGGCGAGAGTTGCTTATGTAGTTGAGTCGGATCATATTTTATTTGATGCTGGTATGAGCGTACCGTATTTACTTTTTGTTTTAATCTAAGACCAAAACTTGGTTCTGATTGCGTTGTTGCTCTTTGGTGTGACCGCTGATTGGTCCGATTGTTTGACGTCGCGTCGTTAGATTGGCTTTTGTCTATTAGGTGGAAGTGTAGTGGGGGCGCGCCGGCGACATCGGTTTTCGTACATTTTTTTTCAAATATCTAACCGACGAACTAACTATAATTTCATTTGCTTTACTTTATGATCATACCTTATTATGTTATAAAACTTAAAGGGAGTAAAATGGGAGATTACATTTTGTATTATAATAGGAAACCAATTATTCGCAGGCATCCGCTAGTTATTTAATCAAATACTTTTTA